AGCCTCCATGGAAGGTGGGAAGTTGCTGGATGCTCTGCATTATCAAAGCCCGGCTTCCAAACTGGAAACAGGCTGAATGAAGCCTGTCACCTCGGTCTGGTGGCAGGCATTGGCAGGGTGAGGGGTCAAGGCGGACCAGGCAGCCACAGAAGAGGGATGGGGACAAAAGAAGCCAGAGGACTCAGGCTGCAGGCGTGGGAGGCGGGGAACAGCACAGTGGGCAGATCTGGCGTGCCCGCCCCGGACGCCAGCTGTGTGGGAGGAGAGGGCTGCCGTGCCTGCTGGGTAGGACAAAGCGGCCCAGAGGTCAGACACAGCCACTGACGACACAGCACGGCGGAATGCCTAGGTGAGTCACCACACAGCACTCCACTGGCGGGCGTGAGGGACCGGAGCGGAGGAAGGACGGGGGGGGGGGGGGGGTTACTGGCTACTGCCGGCATGCTGATGGGGAAGAGCTCACCCCCAAACAGTCCTGCCGTTGGAGCAGGTGGGAAGAGCTCACCCCCAAACAGTCCTGCCGTTGGAGCAGGTGGGAAGAGCTCACCCCCAAACAGTCCTGCCGTAAGAGCAGGTGGGAAGAGCTCACCCCCAAACAGTCCTGCCGTAAGAGCAGGTGGGAAGAGCTCACCCCCAAACAGTCCTGCCGTAAGAGCAGGTGGGGGACACTTGGCCACATCCCTGGACCAGTGTGACCCGGACGTCCCCACGCAGGCCGCTCCCCCTGCCAAGTGAGGAGACACGTGCTGGGAACGCCAGCGCATGTGCATGCAGACACTAGACGCGCATGGGCAGATACACAGCAGCTGGAGGTCTCCCTTGGGGGCAGTCGTGAAGGGAATGGCATCTAACTCTTGGGGAGCCCAAGTCCACACTGGCTTAAACCATGCAATAAATACATTCGAGGTGCAGAGGACTGGGGCGCGGACCTCAACTCCGGCCCAAGGGAGGAAGAGGCTACGACGGCAGGGCAGCTTGCCCCACTACCAGGCATCGGCTCAGCTCAGCACAGCTGCGGCCACGGGGCAGAGCTCATCCAGAGCAGCACAGAGCTAGCTGCTTCTTCACAGGTGCCAAGATCAGGAACAAGAGAAATTGCCGAGGCTCCAGACAGACTGAAGCCAGCTGCAGTCAAGACAGCTGGACGCCGTGGGATTCCCCCAGAGGCCTCTGCTGTGTGGACATGATGGGTGTGGTGGGAAGGAAGGAAATGACCCATGGTTTGAGTGAGTGGTGTTGGGTCTGACTTCTCCACCCAACTGAGGCAGGAAGGTGGCACGGCTCCCTGGGTCCTGGTGTACCTGCCACGCTGCCAGGGCCAGGTGTGAGGGTTCTCCACAGGACCCCCCCCACTTCCAGACACCACCAAATGATGCTGATAAAGATGCTAATTTAATTCCCAGGCCAGATAACCAGGTTATTCAGCAAAGAAGTGTGTATATGTGTGTGTGTGTGAAAGAGAGAGAGAGAGAGAGATCAGGTGGGAATAAAACTTTGAATTTAGACACTGCTCACTTCTTTGTTCGGGATAGGACTGGGTACTAATCCCCATCCCAAAGATTCCTACACTCACACATGCTAAACATAAACTCAAGTGTGCCTAGTAATCTCATTCTTCCTCTCTCTCTTTTCTAATACACCCTCCTCTCATGTTGAGCTTCACATCTTGCCTTAACTATTCTCTCTGAATGTAGGTGCTGAGATAAATCACTGCACTTTCTAAGACAGAAGCAGTGTGGTATGCAGGTGACATTCAACTTTAACTAAGTCCCAAGAGCCTACATATTGGCCTATCTTGGTGATGAGCCGTTTTCTGTTTTAAACCAAGTGGTTGATGCACACGGTCACCCTCAGCTCTTGGTTTCTTTCCTCCAGACCTAACATTTACTAAGTACCTGCTACACCACGTGGCTATGCCAGGAGCTGGAGCAGGCCCAGTAGAGGGAAGCAGGGCAAGGCACTGAGCATCAGCTGTGTGGGCCAGGCTGGTGCGTCTTCAATGGTAAAGCCAGCCAGGGCCACACCAAAATGTGAAGAGACGCTATTTCATATCCTGCTCCCTGAAACTAAGGATTACAAGTGTGCTACATCCCAACAGGTCCAAGATGTTAAAAGCAAGTCAGCATAGTCAACCCAGCCCTTGACAACTCTGGTCTACAACTTCCCATCATCTGAGCCTGAAATGCTAATTCTGTCCTTTTTGCCTAAAGTAAGTGCAAGACTCATTACACCAAAAGAAAAAAATTGTAATTTCCGTCACAAAAATTACAGAAAATTGCAGTGTTTCTCATTGCCTGTCAAAGATTTTTGCTTAGAATGAGAGAAAAAAAATCTTACTGCCTGTTCTGTGGGAAATGTTGCTTATCCTATGAGCAATGCAATAAATCTATCTTCTCACAAAACTAAGGTCTGGGATCCTGTCCTAGCTATGGGCTCGCCTGGACTAAATTCCACCACCATCTCCCAACCCTAGCCCCCATCCTTCTGGAAGTCTCATGGAGTGTCCTGCCACAGCTGGCTTTGAGCTGTGGTCCTCAGATCTCAGCCTCCTGAGTAGCTAAGGCTGCAGGTAAAGCCACTGGTGCCCAGCCAGTTTTTCAGACGTTTGGTCGACAGTGCTTGACACATGGTGCTGGCTGTCAGTGATGCCCGGCACGCACCCTGCTGGGCCTCACTCCTTCACTGCTCACTAGCTAGGGGACCCTCTGACCCTAGGGCAGACTTGAGCCCATCTGGAGGCGCACCTTAACGTCCCGGTGTGGTTCACAGTGTAGTTAGGCCTTAGAGCTGAACTGGGAACTACCCAGGACTCAACCACGAGAGCGCTTGCTCTCCTCCCTAGCTCACCAGGGGCTGCACATTTACCTCTCAGCCTAGACAATCCAAAACTTTCCAACTACGGGCTGCCGAGGCCAACGCAGAAGCGTGGGTGGGAAACCAGAAGCACACAGCAAGTGAGGGGGTTGTGAGCTGTGCTGTTCTCTTAGCGTCCCTGAGGACAGGGCAGCCCAAAGGTGGCCAGGCTCCTGCGACCACTCCTCTACCACACGGCCCCTCCCTCCTCCCGGACTGCCACCTGGGCTGAGAGCCAGGGTGCTCTCATGAAATGCAGAGCCTGGGCTAGCAAATAAGGCCTAGTTTTAGGGTTGTCTTTGGAACCCCAAAAATTCTGGATGGTGCCTGAGGAGCACTGGGAGCCCTGCTCAGTGCTCACAATTCTCACAAGTCAGAGAGCTGCCTGCCAGCTCCATCACAGATACTAAACGTGAAATGCCTAGCTTGGGGCCATCCTGTTCCAAGGCCCCTCCTTCTAATGACTCTGAGAACTGGAGTTCTCTGAGGGCCCTGTGGGGATGGTGCCAGTCCCCAGACGGGAAACAAAGCCCCTCCCAACACCTCAGCACCCATCGGAAAGGAGAGCGTCTAGGCTGGCAGGGCAATGGGAGCACTGCAGACACACACGAGCTTCGAAGAGTGGCAGAAGGACAGAGCCAGATGGAGGGACAGGACAGGGTTGAGGCCATGGCCTCCGGCGCTGCCAGCCCCTCCCCCAGCACAGAAAAGAAAACAGAGGACTGCTTTGATGAAACCAGAACAATGCCTCATTCCACGTGTGTCGTGTGTCACGGTGAGGGACAGGTCTCACTCCGGGGCCTCATTGGTGCTCATCTTCACTGGGAGGTGTCCCCTGACTCCCACAGCTGCCCTCCTGCAGCTCCCTGCCTACCAGCTCTGCCTTTTCAAATCAGATTTCAGATGGGTCTCTTGTCAGCTTTGTTTTGATTAAATCTAAAAGTGCCCTTCAAAGGAGTACATTGATGTAAATATCTGATTTTCTTTAAAAAAATATTTTGAAGCTGGGTGCCAGTGGCTCACACCTGTAATCCTAACTACTCAGGAGGCTGAGATCTGAGGATCACAGTTCAAAGCCAGCCCAGGCAGGAAAGTTCATGAGACTATTATCTCCAATTAACCACCAGAAAACCGGAAGTGGTGCTGTGGCTCAAGTGGTAGAGTGCTAGCCTTGAGCTGAAGAGTTCAGGGACAGTGGCTAGGCTCAGAGTTCAAACCCAACTGACCAAAAAATTTTTTTTGAAACCAAGGTTGTTCTGAGGATTAAATATTTTTAAAGGTTTAACGTGATACCTACATCTAGTTTTTATTTGTAAAAGAAGTGTATATTAACCTGAAAACATAAACTTGAAAAAAGTTAAAAATAATATGGATAAAAGATGGGCAACAATAGCCCATGCTGCTCAGGAGATCTGAGGATTGCAGCTGGAAGCCAGCCCAGGAAGGAAAGGTCATGATACTCATCACCAACTGACTACCAAAAAGTTGGATAGCTGGAAATGGAGCTGTGGCTCAAGTGGTAGAGTGCTAGCTTTAAGGAAAAGAGCTCAGGAACAGTGCTCAGTGCCTCAACCCCCTAAAAAATAAATAAAAATTGAAAAAAAAAATGCATGTGGTGTGTGTGTCTGTGTGTGTGTCTGTGTGTGTGTCTGTGTGTGCGTGTGTGTGTGTGAAGATGCAGCCAGAGGCAGTTTTAAATACCACAGGAACAGGAAGTGATCAGTGCATGGAACACCACCACCCTCACTTCAAGGCAGCCCAGGGGCATGACTGGAAGCCCAACAACAAGTCTACGGTGTGGACCACTGTCATCTTCACCTTACAGGAAGTCTAGGCATGGGACCCACAAGCAAGAGAGAAGTCAGCACCGCAGGGATCACTTCACAGCAGGCTGCCTCGCCATCCACAAGCTCATCCTACGCCCTCCAGAAGAAAGACCTGTGGTCGCGGAACATGCTACAAATGCAGCACTGGGCCACACTGAGACTGAGCAGCAGCTTGAATCCGGACACTGTGAAAGGAAAGGGGTCCTGGCATAAACCAAGCTGCAGATCAGACACCTGGAGGCCGCAGCCCAGGAGAACACACTGATCAGATGAGGATAAAAACCTCGAATTTAGACACTGAGCAAAAAAGCAAAGCACACCTTAAAAGGGCTTTAGAGTCCATTTTAGAAAGTAGTGAATTGTGACTTTCTCTTCCTTTGAAAACGGTATTTCCAAAATGTGGGCATCAATGCGGGGTCCTGGTGGGGGGCGGGTAGAAGATGGGGCCATCGTCACACACCACCATCCCCTGAGCCGCAGCCCCCTTGGCCTGCTGCACATCCCACTTGTGGGACTGCTGCCTCCCAGGCTCAGTGCAGTTTCGCAAGTGCAAGTCCTCCTTGGTGAAGCACAGCTCTATCTGGCCAATGGTTTGCACCTCTTCTCCCTGGAAAACAAAGGTAGACCTTTAGCGTTCAGTCCTTGCACTGCCATCTCAGTTTCAACATCAGAACACTCTGGAACTGGATTAAAGATGACAAAAGCAGTGGATGCAGACCCTGGGAGCAGAGCTGACAAGCACAGGTGCAGCTGAAGCCATGCTGCTACGGGCAGCTGCGGGCTAAGGCTCGGGCCTAGGTGCCTAGTCACCCAGCCATTCACCCCGCCGGCCCGGCAGCCCTGTGTGAAGGGATGTGCTTTCAACTTGGAAAATGATGAAAAGGTACACGCAGACCAGACCACACACACTGCACCTGGCCGGATATGCAAAGAGAAAATAGTATACCAACTGATAAGAGAATATTATCCTTACTGGCTAAAAGAAGAAACTGCAATTATTCTATAAGTTAGATAATTGTTAACTAAAATAATTAGGACTAGCATCATAAAACCCTGGAGACTTTTTAACTTAGAAATTTTAACCTAGTGATACACCTCTCTTCTTCCTCCACCCCTCCCCCCTGCTTCGCTTCCCTGGCAGTATGTTCTCCTTAGGGAGAACACACAAAAACCCATTCCAGCAGTGTCAAAGAACAATGCCCTGCACACACACAACAGTCATGACCACATAAGTGTGCTTACACACATGTATGCACACACTCAGATGTGGCCACTTTTATATACAGCACATGTCCACATGTGTATGCACCCACATGCACAAACTCAGATCTGGTCACAGACATTGTACATGCCTACACCTGCATACAGGTACAGACATGCACACAAATGCAACTGTCCTGGAAACTCCACAGTGAAGACAAACTGTTGAGAAAAGTAATTTTGTCTTCTTGATAAAGGTGATAAAATATGACACATATCCAACCTTTTCTGGCAGGAGGCACTGGATTTTAGGAACCACGCCATAGAATCTGGTAAGGGCATCTTTAAAATCTGAAATCTGATATTAAACAAAGGTGTATTAGTAAAGAACTTCAACAGGAAAACCTACCGTTCAGAGCTGAGTGCCACGTGGCTTTGAGAAACTGCACATAACATGTGCTGGAATAATGCATGTGTGTGGCTGTAATCTGGTAAAGCTCTGTTGACAAAAACAGACAACCCACCAGGGCTGTGGGGGTGGATCAAGTGACAGATCACCTGCCTAGCAGGTGTGAGGCCCTGAGTTCAGCCTGAATATCCAAAATCCCAGACAACTACATTTTATAGATTCTTTCCCACCAAAAGATCTGACTGTGCTTAATATACTTTTATCATGAAAAAAAAAAAGTTTCTCGTGCCTACTATAACACTGAATATATTTTCAAACTCCTAATCCACCAGCTCTAAGAACCTGGAGCATACATGACTCAGCAGACTATGAATCTGTGCTTCCTTGGTGTACAAATGGAGACGGAACACACGTAATATCTACCAACAGTGGCGGCAGGGGTGGTGTGGGTCACTGTAAAATCAGGAAGCTAGCACCCGCTAGATGTCCCCAGTGACGCACAGTAGAGGTAAAGGCAACACTTACATTATAGTAATTGATTGATGGCTTAATTCCAAATTTTAGGAGTACACTGAAAACAAACAAAAAAACAGTTCTGTAATGGTCCATGTTCCTTTTCAAACATGGTATTTTGTAGTAAAAATTAAGATTTTTTTCCCCTATGACTTCTGGCAATAAATCTGTCAACAAGACAGCAATCACCTTTATGCAAGCCTTTGCCCATCCCAGCACACACACTACCACATAGACAGATACCTTCCAGAACCTGAACCCCAACAGCACCCCAGAGACCATGCAAGGTGCAGAAGCCCCACCAGCCCCATCTACTGGCCACACCTGTGCTAAAAGATAGCCCATGTCTGACTGTGGATTCTGAGATTCATCCTGAGGCCAACTATGTTAAATGACTATGTCCTTAAGTCTTTTCCTAAAACACAGCCAGGAGAAACCCACTGACTTCATTAATAAGCTTGCTACATTCTGGAGGAAAGATGAATCCCCCACCCACCATCCACAGGGATCCTCTGTAGCCCTGTCAACACCCCCCACCCCCGAGACCATTCTGGATTATAGCCCCACATGGGAAGCAAAGCCACAGCTTGCTCTCTGGCTACTCACCTGCCGCAGTACTTCTGGGATGAGCAGGAGGAGGTGGGAGCAAGATATAGGTGGTAGGTAGGAAGGGACCCTGGGTGGGCCCTCAAAGCCCCAGAAATGCCATTTCTACGTGAATGTGTCACACTGTCCCTATGCTATCAGTGCCAAACATGCATACAAGATTTTAACTTCTACAGAGGTTAAGTCACACAATAACATCTCGGATAAACTAGGTTACATAAAATATTGATATTAGCCTATATTTTTGCTCTTCTCAGTGACGTTACTGGGAAATACAGCACTAACATCTGTGGTTTCACTGTATTCTACTGGGTGGCATCCTCCTGGTACAGGTGAACACAGAAGTGAGATGTCCCTAGCACAGAGAGCAGCACTGCATCTTCTAGTGTTCATCTTAAGAGTGAAATCACTTTCTCTTTAACTCTAACTCTCTGGGCTTCCCAAGAGAATCCCCAAGAGTGAGGTCTCACGAAGACCTGCTCTCAGTAAAACCTCACATGGGGGCAGGACATGCTCTCAGTGACACCTCACAACCGCTTTTGAAGTGTTTGTTGTCTTGTTTTAGGAGAGGAAGTGATTCCAACACATTCCTCAATCCAGATGCACTGGGTCCTAGACCTGGTACTGGTTTCAAAGCTCCTAATATACACACTAAATACAGATTTTAAGAGCTAGAAGAGACTTCAAAATCTGAGGGCAACCTATCCTTTCATTTCACTTCAGAGAATTAGGATCTAAGATCTAAGATGGCCAATTATACTAGTATGTGTCAGAACCAGGACTGAAGGGTGTGCTTAAAACCCTGTGCTCAGCCGCCAGGTGGCTTCTGCCTGTAATACCGGCTACTTCGGAGGCTGAGATCTGAAGTTTGAATCCAGGCTGTGTAGTAAAGTCCAATAAATCACCCAAGCAGCTCAAAGTGGAGTGTAGCTCAAATGGTACAGTGTAGCCTTAAGCAAAAAGCTCAGGGACAGTGCCCAGACCCTGAGTTCAAGTCCCAGAACCAGTGTGCACGTGTGTACATGTACACGTACACACACACACAAATACATATGCATGCACACACGCACATCTTGTGTTCTGGCAGCTGCTAGTTTTAAACTCATTTTTAGGGTGCTCTCTGAGGTATTTCACCCTCCCCAAAGGCACTCAGCCTCTTTTGTCCCACTGCTGATCTACCAATTCAAGTCCCAGCTGTTTTGGATCAAAATGACACAGAACATAATGTGCTTGAGGTGGTGAGACGTCATCTGAGCAGATGAGGCAGGGCAGATGTGCACGGAAGCAATGGAGGTTTACTCATCTTTTAGCTTTGATTCATCCCTTTAAATGTGCTTTTAGAGCAAAGGCTCCTGGGATATTGTCATCTGAAGGAGAACTCTAGCTAAAGCAGCTGTACAGTTAAAAGCAGCAATGCAAATGCTGTATAATCTGACCCCCTTTTTCCTGCTTAAAAAAAAGTAATCAACAGGCATTTGTTTCTCATACTTCTGGAGGCTAAAAGGCTGATCTGCATGAAGGCAGATCTGCATGAAGGCTGATCTGCATGAAGGCTGATCTGCATGAAGGCTGACCTGCATGAAGGCTGATCTGCATGAAGGCAGATCTGCATGAAGGCTGATCTACGTGAAGGCTGATCTACCTGAAGGCTGATCTGCATGAAGGCTGATCTGCATGAAGTGAAGACAGATCTGCATGAAGGCTGATCTGCATGAAGGCTGATCTGCATGAAGTGAAGGCTGACCTGCATGAAGGCTGACCTGCATGAAGGCTGATCTGCATGAAGGCAGACCTGCATGAAGGCTGACCTGCATGAAGGCAGACCTGCATGAAGGCTGATCTGCATGAAGGCAGACCTGCATGAAGGCTGATCTGCATGAAGGCAGATCTGTATGAAGGCTGATCTGCATGAAGGCAGGCCTGCATGAAGGCTGATCTGCATGAAGGGTGATCTGCATGAAGGGTGATCTGCATGAAGGCAGACCTGCATGAAGGCAGGCCTGCATGAAGGCTGATCTGCATGAAGGCTGATCTGCATGAAGGCCTGGCAGATCTGAGGACAGCCCACTTCTCACAGAGGGCACTTCTTGCTATCAGCTAGCTCTACAGTTCCCTGGGGTCTTCTTTCATAAGGCACTAATCCCATCCATAACCCTAGCCCTAACCCACCTTCTCAGACCTTCAACCTGGGGAAGGGTAGATTCCAGAAGCTTCCCTATCCAGCCTATCACAGGCCACCTTTCAAGCTGATGCTGTCCTCACTCTGCCTTGTCACATTTCTAAACCACCAGGTCACCAGCTTGTCACAAGTAGGACAATAAATATGCCTAGCACCCTTAGCACAACCTAAGTGTCCGGTGGGAGGGACAGGCTGGCCTAAGGTCTGGGCACCCAGACTCTGACCGTGAAGATGCTAGACCACGGCCCCGGCAGGGCATGCCATCCTCACAAGTCCTCAGCTCTTGTATGGTTAACAACATAGCCCCCTTCCCAACACAGAGGTGAAGGCGAGTAGAAACAAGTCCACAAAGACTGCCTCACTCTAGAGCCTAAAGGCCCGCTCCCCTGTGTCCAGGAGGGGAAGGCTTATGGTGTCCAATGTCTCTGGGGAAACGATCCTGTTAACATGGGGTCATTGTCAGAAGTGGCAGTGTGCCTGGTCAGCCTCTGTCTCCTTGGGGCCAACTCTGACAAGTCAGGCAGCTAAGTCCATACCTGCCTGTGGGGTTACAATCTGGAATAACTGCAAAAGTATTGGGGTGGGGTGGGGGGTGCTGGAGTCTTTCCCAGGAAGTGGACCGTCACCACCCTTTCAGGGTACCAGAGAAAACAGCCCCACGGTCTAGAGTGAGGGATTCACCCACCTGTTGAGGTCGACCTGTTTGTACAGGTCCAGGCTCTTCCCAAAGTACTTCTTCTCAGAGTTGAGGGCGTCCACCTCGGCGGCGCAGGTACCGTGCTTGTCCCACTCATGCTTCCTGTGGGGTTCACAAGGGTGCTCAGACACATGTGCCCAGCACAGCTGCCACATGCACATGCCTTCCTTTCCTTATATGCAACCTAGGCAATTACATGCGTCTCCCAGCTGAGACCAAGGCTCCAATAACACGTGACAGACCCCGAAGAGAACTCATCTCTACACTCACAGCTTGCTCAGTTAACCAGCCAGTGCTGAGGAAAAAGAACACACCACTGTTCAGCCACCCACCAAGTCGCGCTGTGGAGTGTGGTCTCCAGCAGAACTGGTACTGACAGCCAGGGAGCCGCAGGGCAGTCAACCTGTCCCTTCTACAGGAGCCAAGGAAGGGCAAATGGCTCAGGAGGTCAGGTCTGCCTCGGCCACTGCCCATGTCCACCTCAACTAACCCCTCAGCTTGAAAAGCCACCCTGGAGGACTGCAACACACAAGGCAGCCTGACTAAATACATGTAAAGAACAATTTATATTCCAGAGAATCCTGGCAACACATTACATTAAGGAAAGTGTCACTTTCCTTACATTCCTGTGCATTAGTGTCACGCTCCTCACTTGGTTTTCTCACAACTCTGCAAGAGGAAAACACCACTCATTGCCAGTCAAGAAATGGGAAAAATGAAGCGCTGAGCCGCTGAGTGACTACTTGCTGAAGGGCACAGCCAGGCTGTCCCAGAGCTGGAACCTGATTCTAAGATCAAGGCCCTCCCTATCCTACCCTGCCAGGCAGAAAGCATACCCACCTGGAGTAGCCTACACCTTGTCAGTTCAGATGCAAGCTTGTTAGCATGGAAAACAAAACACGAGTCAAGTTTGTTCAGCTTTGTCAGTGAGTGATTCATCATTTGAATTAACAGTCACACAACCATTTATAATGCACTTACATGTAGTATCTAAAACTACAATCTAAATGTGCATCACCTTACTGGTAAAATTCACCTCCTATACCTGTTTTAAATAAATGCATGGAGTAAAGGTAATATGTCACTCAGACCTAACTAAGAAAACAGGATTTGAACACAAGAAAGATCAAGACAGATGAATAGCTTTACGTAGAATAGTTTCTAGAGTGAACTACTTCCTAGCTCTCCATGTTCTATGGAACAGAAAATGGATATTCTTTCAAGCTAACATAGTGAAACCCAAACTATGAGTGACTTAGTATTGGCAAAACAAGAATACTGGAACCAAGTGTATAGGTCTCCTGGGGAGAAGAATGAGTTACAGTTGCTAGGTCTGGGGCACATTGCAACTGGTGTCACACAGGGCTTTGAGTTCAAATCCCAGTAACATCCAAATGTCAACTTTTTTTTTTTAATGCCAGTACTGGGACTTGAACTTAAGAGCTTCTCAGCAATTTGTTTGTAGCTGGTACACTTAAGCTATACTTACAGTTCCACCTTTTTATTGGTTAATAGCGATAAGAGCCTTTCAGATTTTGTGCCTTGTGGCTAGGCTGGCTTCAAACCACAATCCTCAGAGCTCATCTCCCGAGAAGCTAGGATTATAGGTATAAGCCACTGGCACTCAGCTTAACGATTATTTTTGAAGCAAACAACTCAACAGATATTAGAGCTATAATGTGTTAAAGCTACAGTTCAAAATACTTAGCCACATGTTACTTTCAATTGGATATTTTACCAATATAAAAAGAATTTCTAATTGCAAATGATTTAGGACAAAATATTTGAACTACAGTAATGCAGAAGTACAGTCATATAGTTACTACCCAGGGTGCTTTAGAGTGCTGCCATCTATATGCAGAGATGTCCTAACTAGCCCTCCAAGAAGAGTTGGGCACAAGGACAGATATCTTGGGACTCATCATCAAGGCAATGAGAGACACCTACTTCTCAGGAGTTACTCAGACCCAAACACAATGCATGAAGCTAAACTGCCAAACTAAAATGACCCAAACCTGGTGGCTCATGCCTGTAAACCTCACCAGACCAGGTAGGAAAGTCTGTGACTCTTATCTCCAATTAACCAACAAAAAGCCAGGAGTGGAACTGTGGCTCAAGCCTTGAGCAAAAAAGTCCAGGCCTTGAGTTCAAGCCCAGGACTGGCACACACACAAAATATAAAGCACAAACATCATCGGTGGGTGCATAAAAACTGTCGATACAGCTGAGCCTTAGAAGACAGTTCCCACTGCCTGTTTTCTGTGCCTCCCACACAGCTGTCATTTAATACTCTCTGAGGAAGCTCTACACACTTGTGCTTTAAATGTGTGATATGACTGCCAGAAACCTGCACTTACCAGAACTGGCTGCGATTGGAATGTGGATGAAGTACATCGGGCCAGTATATCTTCATGTCCCGCAAAAGATCCTGTGTTAAAAACAAAAGCCTCTGCAAGACCTAAGAAACCCAAAACCTAGAGGGCAAACTTAATAAACTAATACATAAAAAATTCAAGTTCTACTAATTTAGGTATGTGAAATTATTATACATGTATTCCGCATGAAGTGCTCCAGATATATGTGAGAATGAGATTTAAGTGCACAAAATCATGTGAAAATACAAGCTCTCATAGGTGAGTGGCTAAACTAACTGTGATACATATAGACAGTGAAATCATGCTCAGTTCTATATAGAGATAAGCACGCCTGGGCAGGAAAGTCTGGGAGACTCTCATCTCCAATTAACCACTAGAAAAGGTTCAAGGACAGCACCCAAGTGAGTTCAAGCCCCAGGCCAGGCAAAGGGAGGGGTGTAAGAGAGGAAGGGGAGAGGGAGGAGAGAGATAGATATCAAATCATGAAAACAAGGGAGGAAACATAAAAGCATGTTTATGAAAACTACATAATATACAATTCCAACTATCCAACATTTGAGAAAGGGCTGCCATGGGTCCTGGGAGGAAAGGGGGAGAAGGAAAACGTGGGCCTGGGATCATTAGAACAGTGAAATTGCTCCACCGGACACCTGTCCTCGAGTCTTGTCAAAACTCATAAATGTGTACCTCAGGCGTGGGCGCTAATTCAAGCTATAACTTCAGGTAGGCGTCAGAACTGGCTCATCAACTCTGATAAAATACAACACACTGAAGGAGGACATTAATAGGGAAAACAATGTGACACGCACAGGCACACACACACTTGCAGAGCCTTGCAGAGAAGGCTTGAGCAGGCAGCTAGCACCTTCCTGCGGTTACGCTAATTCCAATTTCTATATGCCCATGTGCTCATCAGACCCAAAAAATCACCCATAAACTTAGAAGAACATTAGCCTCCTGTCTCCCACTCTCCCATGATGGTCCTCCTGTCAGTACACCAGTGCCTGGCCTCCCTGTCCCCTCTGGACACAGCCGTGCTGGGCCCCTTCACCGAAGTTATCCACCCAGGGTCTCACTGCTTTGCTTACCTGCCACCTCTCAATCTGGCATCAGCCATCTGGGCATGACTTACAGAGTCAGTCAAACCAGGTCACTTCTGTGTGGGGCAAACACTGATCGTGCATTATGCAACAGAAGCAAACCAGCACTGTTCTGAGTAAGCTGGGGCATGGCTACCAAGACTGGCAGTCCCTCAAGGCAGAAGTCATTCAGCCAGCTTGTTATGATACCCCTTCCTCCCCAAGATTCATCAACTTTCCTTCTCCTGAATGACACTCTACAAGGACTTGCTGGTACACAGCAAGGAAAGCTGAGCCTGTGCAGGAAGGTTCCATATTCCTTTGTGAAGTATCTCAAACAAATAAACACCACATGTGCCACTCTTGTAAACTTGTAACTTAAACCTATAACTTAGTTCCTTGAGGATGGAAGGCAGGACTCAAGCACTAGGCAAGCACTATAACAAAGAGCTCCACCCTCAGCCTGCTCTACCACATTACTCTTTAACAGCGACTTTCATACTGGAAGGCCTCCTCATCTGTTCCTTGATCATATTCACTATTTAGAAACACTTACCACCCATAGCTAGAAAGGCAATGCCAGGGGCCACGTGCTGACTCTCTGGACCCTGTCTAGAGATGTCCACCATGACACATGCACCAGATACTCACTTTCAGTACTGACTCAGGAGCCTTGGGTGCTGGGAACTATGGGGCTGGCTGTCTGCACAACCAAGACATGTTTTGCCTCTCTGAGCTCACTGCCCACAGCTCACATGCTGGGCTTGGGCCCAGGCAGAACAGGAGGAAAGTCTGTATTTTGTTTTTTTAGTTTATGGGATTACTTTAACTATCAGTAATTACTAAAAAGGCCGCAAGGGCTCAATTAAAATGAGTATATTCATGACCCTGATGTTTTAAGCATGACTTTGAATATATACTTATGAGAAGAATTACTGTAATATAACATTCTTTTGCAGTAGAAATACAACTAAAAGTTAGTACCTTAATTTCATCCAAATTAAAGTGCCATGATCGATTACATTCTTCTCCTTTATCAGGCCTTGAGATATAAAAACATTAGTTTGGGTTAGGACGGCTTTTACAAGACATTATATTTTCATTAAAATCTGTAGCAAACAAAAAAAGAAGTCCTAACTGAGAATTAATTTTCCCACACAACGTTTAACAAAGAATGCTTAGACACAAACACACTGAGTTTCTTTTGAAGAGGAAAGAAATGGGGTTCAGAATGTCCTGGCCAGTTTTTTAGTAGAAGTACAACAAATTGCCCAGTAGGGGGAACTCTGAAGCCAACCCAGCCTCAGCACTTGCTAGCAGCCTAGGAATTGTCTGACCCTACTCCAAAATGCTTTGCCTCACTAAATGCTGTAACCATGCAGAGCGATAATATGCACAGCTGACATGCTCACAAAGTGCCTGACAGACCACAACAAGGTCGACTAGTATGACCTGGTTTTATTTTTCGGTATAAAATATGTTCTCACAGTCTTTGCTTCTGAATTTTATTCTGCCTTTCCAAGTTTGACTCTGGACATATCAGCTCTCATTTCTCAGAGCTGCTCAGCTCAGAGGGCGCCACACTGACCCTAAGACCTCTCAGAGCCCCACCGACCAGGATGCTGAGGCCTGGCAAGGGCTGACACTGCACCCTGGAAGGTCAGAGAAGCTGTGTGGATTCTCATTCCAGCCTCAGAAATGAAATGCCATCAAGAGCAGACACAGCCAGGACACAGGAAGGCAGCAGAGGCAGTGAGCCAAAAGTTAAGAGAGAAAAGGGCACAAAGGTTGACACCTAAGAAGCCTGAGGAAAAGTGGAACTGGAAGCCAGTTACCCAGGTTCCAGAAGGAAGGGTCCCAAGAAACACAGGCACCAAAGGAGCCAAGAGGACCCCTCTTCCCATAAGAGAGCCTTCCAGGGAACAAATTTACAGGCAGAATTCAATACCACAAGCACATGCACAACACCACACACCACATGCACAAAGAAAAACTACCTAGTGAGAATGCGGATAAAACCAGGAAAACAAAGTTAGCCCCCTACACAGAAACAGGCATCACTATATACTGATAATGTATCATATATGTAAATGAGATTGTTTTATCCAAGTAGAATTAAACAACAAAATTACGGTTATGCTAAAATGACTCAAGATATTTCTTTTTTTTTTTTTTTTGGGGGGGGGGGTCCAGTCGTGGGGCCTGAACTCTGGGCCTGGGCGCTGTCCCTCAGCTCTTCAGCTCAAGGCTAGCGCTCTACCACTTGAGCCACAGCGCCACTTCCGGCTTTTTTCTTTTTGCTTATGTGGTGCTGAGGAATCGAACCCAGGGCCTCGAGCATGCAAGGCAAGTGCTCTGCCACTGAGCCACCTTCCCAGCCTGACTCAAGATATTTCTAAATAAAGATCATGTCTACTGAACAAACTCCTATCAAAAACAATAAGTATACTTATTAAGACTAGACTCAAGCTGGAATTTCAAGTCGGCTGGCTTCTCCTGACTTTTAATGAGGCTTTATGGCCCTAGATGCTTGCCATAGTCCATGGATCGTCCAGTAATCCAGAGAGTCTTGACAGCTGTTACCTTCCTAGGAGAAAAGACACAAAGAAGATGGTTCGTTGTTTAAATACACTTAGCAATTCTGTTTTCTTTCATAGACTAACTAGACATTGGTACACTAATACAATAAGGTGATGTGGTATTGGTAGCAATATCTGCAATGTGTTCATGAGAAAACTACATCAGGGCTAGATGTTCTAGGCTTGTCCTCTAACAGTGAAGCTGAGGGAACCAAGTAACTACAAAGGCTGATACCAGTACAATCAAACTTGTGCCACTATTAGGTCCAAATCTATCTGTGACATAATCAGTACTGAAAACTTGAAGCCAACCAACACAATAAAGTAAAAATCAGGAGTACAGCCTTGCCCTCCACTAAGGAAGACAAAGTCAAGATAAAAATCTCAGTATAGCAAAACCTTTTCAGAGACCTACAAATGATTTAGCTAAGAGCCACCCTCCTCCATCCCCACCCTGTGACTGAGCAAAGGAAGCCTAGAACTTGGAGCCTGGCTGGCTGACAGGCCTCATGCTCTGCCTTCCCCAGCTTTGTCCCCTCTGCATGGCTTCTCAGGAGAGGAAGTTTCATGGCTGACTAGGGATGACCAAGGGCCTGGTTCAGGTGACAGATGCCAGGTGAGAGCTGCCTGCTACTGGGCAACTGAGCGCAGGAATGGAGGAACAGAGGCCACCTTCTTTCCCTCCACCAGCACCCCAATTCCTTGCCTAAGGAAACCCCATTTCCTTCATCTTGCACAGCCCCTAAGAGCAAAGACAGCACAGAATGTGGGTGTTTGCTCAGCTTCTTGTCCAGGTTTCTGTGCCTGCCTTGACAGGAGTAACCCGGTCAAGGGTCAGCTTGCTTTCTTCCATTCAGTCAGCAAACACTATGGCTCTGAGGGACTGTACCACACACTGAGGACATGTACAGACCATGACAAGTGTGTTCCTACACCTATCATGCATATCTTACAGACAGGAGCCCACAGGCAGCTTCTAGTGCCAGAGGAAGGCAGGCTGAACATCTTCCCCATCGTCACCTTGTTTGAAATTTCTTCAACTCACTAATTTTGTTAAAGCCCCACTTCTAAAGCCTCAAGGCAAGGCAGCTGCCTGCACAGCCACATTCACCAGTGGACAGACCTACTTTTCTCACACAGGCCAGGCCAAGCAGCCTGGTCCTGAGCCTCAGTTCTTCTTCTGTACACGGGTCCTCTGGCTGGAGCCAAGGACTTCACTATTCCTCAGTTCCCAGGACGCCAACCAGATTCCCAGCCAACTTATGAGTTCATGCCCCATACTTTCATTCCACTCACTCCGTGTAGGAACAGTAGAAGAGAAAAAAGAGACAGCAAGTCAAGTTTGGAAAATTGAAACCATAGTGTCTAGTCTAATAGTGGAGATAATGTTACAGAGCAGTTTCCAGGTCAAGAGTAGAATTAGAGCTAGGTACCTGTAATCTTAGCTACTCAGGAGGCTGAGATCTGAGAATCACAGTTCAAAGCCATGAGCCTCTTATCTCCACTTAACCACCAAAAAGCCAGAAGCCAAGCTATCGCTCAAGTAGTAGAGTGCTAGCTTTAAGCAAAAAAGCTCAGGGACCAGGCCCTGAGTTCAAGCCCCAGGACCAGCACTGCAGAGTAGGATTAGGCTGGGCAATGGTGGCTTAGGCCTATAATCCTAGCTACTCACGAGGCTGAGATCTGAGGATGGTAATTTAAAGCAAGGGAAGGGAAATCTGTGAGACTTATCTCCAATTAACACCAAAAAAGCAGGCAATGGAGAGAAAGAAACAGGTGACATAGTCCAAAAAGAAATGTACTTATCACCTGCCTTATGTAACTGTGGCCCCTCTGTACATCACCTTTAAAATAACAATTTTTAAAAGTTTTTTTTTTAAAGCTGGAAGTGGAGCTGTGGCTCCAGCAGTAGAGCTTTAGCCTTAAGCAAAAAAGTCAGGCAACGAGCACAAGCCCCAAGTTCAAGCAAAATAAAGGGCAGGAAACAACCAAGTAATACCCTCAGTGAGTTACACCCTCAAGTACCAGCTACCAACCCCCCATCACCTCCACTTCCCAGCTACTGCCCTCCACCCTGTGGCGTTAAGAGACCTTAACAATTTAAAACTCTCAAGCCAAAATTTCAGAAACACTACTGATAAACCTAGTTCCAGCTTGGGGTAATTTTGCAGTAAATATCAGGAATGTCTTTCAAACTGCTAATGAGAAGGATGAGCCAGAGCAGAGACTGGGAGTGGGCACGCGGCTGGCGCTGCTCCAACAGGCAGAGCCTCAGCAAGGGCACCGTAGAAGTGGCTGAGACAAGACAGAACCACAGACAGAGAGAAGCCACTCTCAAGTGGGGGTGTGATCCGCATCACGCAGAACAGGCAGGAGACAGGCAACTGTAGTCCACTCCCTCCCATTCCTGGGAGACAAATAAGACACTCAGCATGGAGAGAGGAGACGAGTCAGGCCTATTTGTGTCTCACTGGGCTTTACGGGATCATACACGAGGTAAGACAGAAGAACTCACCTTGCACACTGTTGGAGGCCAATGCTGAGTCAAAATGAGTTTTTTCCACTCATGGTTGCCACTATTAAAAGACAAAAGCATGGTTTTCAGGACTATTTGTAAGTACAAGACTGAATTTCTTTAAAGAAATCAGCCCAGCACTAATGGCTCACACTTGTAACCCTACTCCAGAGACCAAAATCTGAGGATCCAAGTTTAAAGTCAGCCTGCGAATAACAAAGAAGTCCATCAGACTTTTACCTCCACTTCAGCAGCAAAAAGCTGGAACTGGAGGTATGGATCAAGTGACAGCACCAACCTTAAGTGAGAAAGTCAAGAAAGAGTGCAATGCCTGAGTCCAAAAAAGAAAAAATGTAATTGATCCATCCACTGGACAATGAGTGTGTGGGACTAGGCTATCACCAGGAACAAATTCCCAGTTCCCAAAGTAACATTCCAAGAGGAGGGAATGAACACTGGATCATGAAAGGTAGAACAGGTAGCAAATACTGACAAGAGTACAGCCAGGAAGAGCCCTGCTGAAGGCAGGTGAACTACTACATACCATTCTCCTAAGGACATTCAGCAATTGAGGAATACAGACTCATGCCCCCTTAGCTATATTTGATTCCACAAGGTTCTGAAAAGTGGGCTCTAGTAATCCACATAGCAACAAAACATGAGCTGAACTAGCTAGCATAAAGCTACTGGAACCATCACTGTCGGCTTTTTTTTTTTTTCGTTCCGTCGGTCGTGGGGCTTGAACTCTGGGCCTGGGTGCTGTCCCTCAGCTCTTCAGCTCAACGCGAGCGCTTTACCACTTGAGCTACAGCACCACTTCCTGTTTTCTGGTGGTTTATTGGAGATAGGAGTCTCACGGTCTCTCCTGCCCGGGCTGGCTTTGAACCGCGATCCTCAGATCTCAGCCTCCTGAGTAGCTAGGATTACAGGCGTGAGCCACCAGCGCCCGGCTTATCACTGTCGGCTTTTAGGTCAGCAATCAGCTGCTCTGCAGAATTCGTGACATGTGCTACTTCAGAAACTACAAGAGTGGTTACAAGCACAGCCAGGGCACTGGGCCTGGAAGATCAGACATGCCCGTGCCATGTCACTGTATTACCTGAACACAGCTCCTCCATCAAAGAGACAAGTCACAGTGAACTGCTCACAGCTCCTTTGCAGGAGGCCTCCTGTGGGTAGAATGTGTCCTCCCCCTGAGGTTTACTTGGTGGGGCCTGGTCCAGTGGCAGTTGGCCCCTTAAGAGGTGGGGGCTAATGGAGGCCCTTTGTTAACTGGGGCGCACCTTCTGGAAGGATTCAATGTTTTGCTTGTGACCTGGCTAGCTCTCCAGGGGACAGTTTTCATAAAACAGCCTTTCAGTCTCTGGCTAGTCACTTCTAGTGACTTCTCTGCTTCATGCCCCTGCCAAGGTACTGTGAGGTCCTCACCAGAGCTGAGTTCTGCTGGTGTCATGCCAGAGGACCTCCAGAACTGAAAGCTACATAAACCTCTTCCCTTCCTAAGCAGCTGGTCCCAGGTACTTCCCTACAGTAACAACAGCAACAACACACACACACACACAAAGAGGCCTCTAACCACATCACACACAGAGACATCAGAGTACAAAGCACAGCTGGCAAAAATAATATATATAAATGGACAAAGTCAGCAGTCCAACTGACAGTTAACTCAGAATACATTACACTTTGGAAGTGATGATTTGGAGTAAAGTAGATCATGCTACATATTGCTTTAGGAAATAACTGAATACTGGTAAGTATAGATTTTACAGTCAAGAAGCCAAGTCCTGGTGCCATGGCTCTACCTGTAATCCCAACTACTTAGAAGGTGGACTACTATTAGGAGGAGGACGATTTGAGGCCAGCCCAGGAAAAAAGTTAGTGAGACCCCGTCTCAACAAAAAGGCTGGGTGGGCATGGTGGTTTCTCACCCCAGCTACACAGGTGCATGAAGACAAAGCCGCCCTCTGGACTTGACCTGACAAGTGAAGCCCGCGCTCAAGCCGCCGTGCCCCGCGGAAACACCAAACGGCGAAGAGCAGCTCTGAAAATCAGACTGGGTCTGAACTGAGGAGACAAGCTCTCCGGGTGAGAGGAGCGAAACAGGGGCTGCCCTGAGGGGCTTGGCCGTCCCTGACCTCGGGCTCCCGGGGGCTCCGCGGGCGCGGGCGCGGGCGCAGGCGGGCTCCCGGGGGCTCCGCGGGCGCAGGCAGAGGGGTCTGGGAGGCCGGCCCGGCCCGGGAAACGTCCCCGCAGCCTCCAGCGGCGCCTGAGTCAGGCCGGCTGCGGAGGGGACGCCGCCCGGGCCGCCGTCCCGTCGCCTCCCTCCAGGAAAGGGCCGAGCCCTCCTGGGTCCTGGAACCCGCTCTGCCCGGCCGGTGCCGGTGCCGTGACCGCGGCGGTTCCCGGTTCCCATGCCCCGGCGGCTCCCGGTTCCCGTGCCCCGGCCGTTCCCGGTTCCCGTGCCCCGGCGGTTCCCGGTTCCCGTGCCCCGGCCCGGCGGCTCCTGGTTCCCGTGCCCCGGCCCGGCGGCTCCTGGTTCCCGTGCCCCGGCCCGGCGGCTCCTGGTTCCCGTGCCCCGGCCGTTCCCGGTTCCCGTGCCCCGGCCCCGGCGGCTCCCGGTTCCCGTGCCCGGGCCCGGCCGCCTCTGCAGGGCGGGGCCTCCCCTGAACGAAAGAAAAGCAGAAGAAAACACCCGCAGCGTCGCGGCCGCGCGTCGGGGCCTGAGCGCCTCGGGGCGTCCGCAGCCGTGCTCCCACGCGCTTCCCGACCGACCACCGCCCCGGAGGGCGGCGAGGAACTGCGGCGTCCTGCAGCCTAGGCACCGGGGCGCCCGCCGCCCCTCCGCCGCCCCGGCCCCGGCCCGCGTTCCCCTCCGCCGCCCCGGCCCCGGCCCCGGCCCGCGCTCCCCTCCGCCGCCCCGGCCCCGGCCCGCGCTCCCCTCCGCCGCCCCTCCGCCGCCCCGGCCCCGGCCCGCGCTCCCCTCCGCCGCCCCGGCCCCGGCCCGCGCTCCCCTCCGCCGCCCCTCCGCCGCCCCGGCCCCGGCCCGCGCTCCCCTCCGCCGCCCCGGCCCCGGCCCGCGCTCCCCTCCGCCGCCCCGGCCCCGGCCCGCGCTCCCCTCCGCCGCCCCTCCGCCGCCCCGGCCCCGGCCCGCGCTCCCCTCCGCCGCCCCGGCCCCGGCCCGCGCTCCCCTCCGCCGCCCCGGCCCCGGCCCGCGCTCCCCTCCGCCGCCCCGGCCCCGGCCCCGGCCCGCGCTCCCCTCCGCCGCCCCGGCCCCGGCCCCGGCCCGCGCTCCCCTCCGCCGCCCCTCCGCCGCCCCGGCCCCGGCCCGCGCTCCCCTCCGCCGCCCCGGCCCCGGCCCCGGCCCCGGCCCCGGCCCGCGCTCCCCTCCGCCGCCCCGGCCCCGGCCCCGGGCCCGGCCCGCGCTCCCCTCCGCCGCCCCGGCCCCGGCCCGCGCTCCCCTCCGCCGCCCCGGCCCCGGCCCGCGCTCCCCTCCGCCGCCCCGGCCCCGGCCCCGGCCCGCGCTCACCTCCACAGCGGGCCCGCGCTCCCCTCCGCCGCCCCGGCCCGGGCCCCGGCCCCGGCCCGCGCTCCCCTCCGCCGCCCCGGCCCCGGCCCCGGCCCCGGCCCGTGCTCCCCTCCGCCGCCCCGGCCCCGGCCCGGGCCCGCGCTCCCCTCCGCCGCCCCGGCCCCGGCCCCGCTCCCCTCCGCCGCCCCGGCCCCGGGCCGCGCTCCCCTCCGCCGCCCCGGCCCCGGCCCCGGCCCCGGCCCCGGCCCGCGCTCCCCTCCGCCGCCCCGGCCCGGGCCCGCGCTCCCCTCCGCCGCCCCGGCCCCGGCCCCGGCCCGCGCTCACCTCCACAGCGGGCCCGCGCTCCCCTCCGCCGCCCCGGCCCCGGCCCCGGCCCGCGCTCACCTCCACAGCGGGCCCGCGCGGCATAGGCAGCACAGCGCCAGCCCCCAGCACAGCGCCAGGCCCCAGCCCCGGAGCGCGCCGCGCGGCGGGGACGCCATGGCAGCCGGACGAAGCTCTCACGGCTCTCTCCCCGCGGGCTCCCACAGCCGCCCAACCCCGGACCCGAGCGTCCGCCTCAGCCGACCCCGCGCCCGGCGCGCCGGGCGACCGAGGCTGCGTACCTCTCCCTCACCACTTCCGCTCGCCTAGCGGAGCAGCGAGTACCGCAGCCAGAGGACGCGCCCCCGACACCGCCCCATCCCACGCGAAGAAGCCGCCCCATGCCCATACACCACGCCCCCAAGGCCGACGCCACGCCCCATCCCACGCGAAGAAGCCGCCCCATGCCCATACACCACGCCCCCAAGACCGACGCCACGCCCCATCCCACTCGAACAACTCGCCCCATGCCCATACGCCACGCCCCCAAGGCCGACGCCACGCCCCATCCCACGCGAACAACTCGCCCCATGCCCATACGCCACGCCCCCAAGACCGACGCCACGCCCCAGTCCCACAGGAAGGACTTGTTCCCTGTCCAGACGCCACGCCTCAATATCCCGGCGCCACGCCTTCTGGCCGGATGGGCACGCCCCGGAGCCACGCCCCCTGTCCACCTGACAGACGGTCCCGAGCCCCGAGGGCCCGTCCCACGCCGTCGCCGCCCCGCGGCCAAGGCCTCCCAGGGCCAGCTTTGATGCTCTCCCTGAGAAACTCAGTGCCACAGGAACAGGCTGGGAAGGCGGCTCGTGGGGGAGCGCTCCTGAGGCCCTGGGTTCGATTCCCTGGCACCACATTCACAGAAAAAGCCGGGCGTGGTGCCGTGGCTCAAGTGGTAGAGCGCCAGCCTTGAGCAAAAGCAGCTCAGGGACAGTGCCCAGACCCTGAGTTTAAGCCCCAGGACTAGCACAAAAGAGTTTTGGGTCTGGGAATGTGGCTCGGTGGTAGAGTGCTTGCCTGGGGTGCGTTATCTGTTTATGTGGCACGGGAAGGAGGCTTGTGACCTAGAAGTACCCTCTCCTTTAAAATGGTAAAAACCTGGCCACTCTTAAATCCCTAAGTGCCAAGTTCACCCTCCCGCGCTCTAAGTTTGGAGCCTAGAGACAGCTCCCTGTTCTAGAACACTAAGCAACACCCTCTTGGCTACCCAGAACATTGGCTGCGCGTTAGGAGCTGGTAGCCTAGCTGACCAGTCCACCCCCACCCCACTGGAAAACATGAAGGCCGCTGATAAGAGGCACCCTTGTGACCACTCCCATTTCGAGGGGGCAGAACACGTTTCTCCCCAACACTTGATCCTGTGGGACTAAAATAAAGCCGTGCCACAACGTGCATTTTAGGAGACTCCTTTGGCGAATCATCTTGACATCTGTGTGTGGATCTCAGGGATCTGTGATTTTGTGAGGAAACTAGGAAGCTGAAGGAGGGGGCAATGGGAGAGGGGGATAGGAAGACCAGGGTTGGGGCAACTTCCTGAGGCCATGAATCACAGAAACTGCACCTGTAGCTGGCTTCTCTGGAGAGGTCAGCTCCCCAACCCGGGGTGAGCCTGAGGAAAAATAGGCTCAGCCAAGGTTAGGTTAAGCAGTGTTTTTGTAAAGTCAGTCGGGGGCCCCTTGCGATAGGACATTTTCCAGAACCCCGAATGTTTGTTTTTAACCTTTGCTGTGGGCTCAGATAAGATTTAGCTTTGTCACCTGCAGTGTGAAGGATGATACAGGAGCTCCAGGCCTTAGGTCCAGCTCCGAAGTCCTCTCCCCAAGATGCCTAGTGAAGAGCAGTGGTGAAGGCAGAGAAATGAGATTCCTTCTATAGCCCAGCACAGCCTTGGAAGAGGCAAGGGAAGCACTGTGGCCCCGCTTCTGGATGCAGACCAGAGCTTTAGGCTTCAGCAGAAGAACGGGCCAGGGGTGAGGCAGGTGCATGATCACTGGACAGTCCTTGTTAGGTTTTTAAAAAGAAGTAGCCAAGTAAGAACATTACCACACACGTGGTATTCAGGTAAGGGGTAGGTTTATTCATCGTTCTGGCTGGCACCAGGCCATCTTGGTCCACCACATGGTGGGGAAAAGCCTGGGAAAGAGAGCTGGGAGAGCTGGGAAAGAGAGAGAAAAGAGCTAGAAAAGAGAGCATCTGGGAAAGAGCAAGCTAGGAAAGAGAAGAGAGCTGGGAAAGAGAAGAGAAGGAAAGAGCTAGAAAAGAGCAGAGAGAGCGTCTGGGCCTGGGCTAGGCCTTATCTAGGGTATGGGCGGAGAAAGGTGTGGCCACATCAAATTCAGATGTGACCTCTTCCAGATGTCCCAGTTGCCTAGGTAACGCAGGTACTGGGTGGAGACTTTGCTGCTAGAAGGGTGGAATCTCTGCTAGCCATCCGGGAACGGACCTTACAGTCGTGATCACTGGAGTGGTCTGGTGTAGTCCAGTTGATCACCAGGCAGGGTGTGTCTTGATAAGGAAGTCATTGTTGCTTGGGGTAGTCACAAGATGTTATTGGTCAATCTTGTCCTTCCTCAATTCCAAGGTCAGCTGTAAGGTGACTGCAGAGAGAAGTGTTCAGTGTTCAGAGGGATGCCAAGCCTTTTACTGTTTCAATTCCACTTGTAGTCCCACAGAAGAAGACAGTGTCTGTGTTCCTAGGATAGAGCTGACCTGGGATGGTCACGCCATCTCCCCTGTTCTCTCCTTCCCCACCAAGCGCACTGATTGTGAAACAAATGAGGCAGGGGCCTCCCAAGACCCTGTACATCACTTTGTAATCGTAATTTTGCACTCCTACTTTTAAAGAAGAGCCTCCAAATTATACAAGCTTCTAAACACCCCTGCACACACATACACACCAATCAGAATACAAACCTGGGACATGGACCCATCACATCCACCTACAAACCCCTGAGCAGAGTGCTGTGCCAGTCTGGAGGAGGAGAGGCTCTCTAAGGCAGAGTGTTGTGGAGGCAGACCAGAACGGAGAGTTGTCCTGTTATTTAGCCAGTCCTGGAGCTTGAACTCAGAGCCTGGGCACTGTCCCTGAGCTTCTTTTTGCTCAAGGCTACCACTCTACCACTTGAACCACAGCCCCACTTCTGTCTTTTTCTGCTTATGTGGTACTAAGGACTCGAGCTCAGGTCTTCATGCATGCGAGGCAAGCACTCTGCCACTAAGCCACATTCCCAGCCTGAGACGAGGTTTTATTGGCTTCCACAACACAGTGTGAGAGGGCAGAGAATGTGAGCTAGAAGATACCGTGTTAGCTTGTGAAACGTCATGTCTGCAGGGAGAAGGTAAGAGCCAGCCACGCCAATGAAAGTGGCTGCTAAACCCCAGAGGACAAGATCATTGCACAGTATGCCTTCCTCCTGGTGTTACCCCGGACCTGGTTCTCATATGCCGTGGGGAAGTTATGTTTACTGTAACAGAAGCTTCTCCTTGGCTCTTCTTCCTGGCTGATGGTTCAGGTGTATCTGTGGCCCGTGGTCTGTTTTAGACTGGACTATGGCTGAAGGAACAGCATTTTTCACATGGTGGTCTGAATATGAGGGCGTGGATGTTTGATCTTTTACTGAAATTCTTTTGGCCACAACAAATGGAATGAGTGAGCCTGGCATCATTAGGGTAGTAAATCTACCGTCCCATAGACTGGCACACTAATCACACGACAGTAAAGTCTGCTATAACTAAAGAGGCAGAAGAATTTTTTCGTTGGTGGTTCTGGGTTTGAACTCCAAAGTCTGGGCTTGCTAGGCAGCTGCTCTTCCACTGTGCCACATCTCCAGCCTTCTCCGCTCTGACTGCCAACCCAGACTGCACCATCGCCTGATCTACACTGCTCATGGAGCAAGGATGACAGGCACTTTTCCTCTTGTGTGGAGGGTCTTGCCCGCTTGTGCCTGGGCTGGCCCTGAGCTCCCAGCCTCAGCTTCACAGATAGCCTCTTTGTAGAAAGAGGAACATTAAACATTCAAGGAGCAAATGGAGGGTGAGAGGTAGCTATGGGCTGATGGGTAATATGAAGGAAGGTGCTTCCCAATGGGGCCTCAGCTGCCAATGTGACCCTCTGCTTTCTGTGACTGCAGGGCCTCTGGATAGTCTGATAGAAAGCAGATCAGCAGAGATCTGACTGGGTGAGCAATACACATGAGTCCTCAGATGCAGAACAATTGAGTATATCAACTGTTGGAGAGAAAATTATAAACCATTCCTCAATGTCTTTACTCTCAGGACAACAGGCCCTAGAGCCTGAGCACTGATGGCCAGCCAGAGTCAGGGGAGGCTCACAATTTGGCTGTGGACAGTGATGGGCCTTCTGTCATCCTAGGCTGGGCAGAGGCTCGGGCTGGCAAGATCAGGCTGAGTATTACCTTCAGGTTTTGGACCTCAGCGCCAAGACTTCATCACGTTTTAACAAAGAGGCACTTAACTAATATTTCTGTTCTAAAGGAATATTTATGCTGAAAAAAGAGAAGAAAAAGCATTAGTTTACTCACACACACACACACAATTATGAAAAAATAAGCCATTGTAGACTACTGAAGTTTTTACCACAAAACTGAGCTAGTTTTGATTAGTTATATGAGCACTTCTGCATTACAAATTCACATTCAGAGTGAATGTAATGGGTCTTCTATACATATTTCTTGATAGTTCAGTAGTGATATGAGTGCAGACCCACTGGAAAGAGCCCTGCTAGAGGAGGTAAGGCAAAAGCTGTTTTCTTCACCCACACACAGCCTGTACGCTTTCATCTCCTCTTCATCAGTATACACAAGGTTTCAGGGTGCCCTGTGAGCAGGGAGAGCACCCCACACAGCCCCCCACTCCCTCACCTCACAGGAGCTGAGTACAATGCGGACTGCAGACCATGCACATTGTCTGGAGGCTGTGTTGCCGGCTGCTGGCCTTGAATAGAAGCCAGGAATAATAACTGATCCCATACACAACACTCTGTGTGTGTGCACGCGCGTGTGCGTGCATGCCAGTCCTGGGGCTTGAATGCAGGGTCTGGGCAGTCTCTTAGTAGTTTTGCTTAAGGGATCTATCGCTTGAGCCATGGCTCTACTTCCAGTTTTTAGGTGGTTCATTGGAGATAAGACTTTTACAGGCTTTCCTGCCTGGACTGGCTTCAAACTGCGATCCTCTGATCTTGGCCTCCTGAGTAGCTATGATTATA